TGAAAGATTAGTGTTGAAGTCATTCTGTTCTGCCATCGCTACCCAGAGCTGAGTGTTGCCAGTGGAGGTGCTGCTGCCAGCTGCGATCAAGTTGGAAGACTGGATCGAGCGGCGGATTGGGGAGGAGGCGATTGCGGATGTGCTGTGAGAAGGGCCCCAAGATCAATTGCATGGTGAAATTTGGGATGGATATGGTGTGTGTGTGTGTGCGTTTCTCCAATTGATTCTAGATCCAAGCAGCTTGCTCCATTTTCAATTTCCTAGGGCCTCGTTGGTCAGGAATTGTCGTTGTGCCAGGTCACTTCCCTTGTGATCCTTCTTTCCTTCTTGTGAAGAGAGTGCTCATCCCTTCAAAGTGGTGATACCAAGCAACAGATTTGATGCCAAATGTGGTGTAGCTACTAGGACGCTACTAGGAACAAAGGGCATCGCTATGAACGGAGCGATCGGACGCTATGAACGGGGCCCCTGGCCTTACTACTAGTAACAAGAGGACGCTACGAACAGAGCTTTTGGTGCCTCAATCGATGGAAGTCCTCCAGCGCATCCGGGCACCTCCAGCTGCGCATCCGAGCAGGTGGCTGTCGAGTCCGATGAGCGCGGCCAGCGGATCTGCCGCCTCATGGGGACGAGTCCTCCGCCGGCGGCAGCGCAGCGGCCTGTGCCGGTTGGGTGGCCAATTTGGAAAGTCAACGCAATGGTGCCACAGATAAGTAGAGTCGAGTAGAGCAACCTAATAGCGATGGCCTCCACTCGTTTTGGACGGGAGAAGCAACACGTGCTTGATTTGCACTGGTGCCTTTCAGGGGCGCCATGGCAGCCACCAAGCTCTTGTCATTCTCCGATTTTCAGGCCTTTCGTTTCGACGAACCGGGACAGTCGGTGCTGTGATCGCCCCCCCTGCTCTTCCACGTCCACAGCCGGTCGGTTCCCGAGGAGATGGCGCGGGGCAGTGATGACTTCATCAAGACTCTGCCCAAGGCAGGGCGCCGGATGGACCTGGAACGCTGGGCGAATGGGTCCAGTTGATGTGCGTCTTGCGGACGGGGTAGACGGGCATTTTGGGGACTCATAAGCTAGTTTTTAACATGAGTCTGGGAAGCTTTGGCAGTGCACTTTTCAGCACTTTTGATGTTGCGCTTGATCATGTGACATGTGTAAAGTGTAAAGTCTTGCAATGTTCCTTAAACTTATCTAGATACTGGATTCTGGATTGGTCTTTTGGTGACTATCATATCCTTCCTTTCCTGCCCATAACAATCTCTTTCTAAGCAATTGGATATCCAAGCTGTATATTCCTTTAAAGTGCTTTCACAATTTATAAGCACACCATCCTTTATGGGACCTACACTTACATACAAGCATTCTGCCTTATCCAAAACTCTCCTTTAGCAATGCTACCTTTGCACAATTCTGACGATTCTGATTGTACAAGAAACTTTCATGACATTTGAGATGGTTTGACGCAGACACACTGGCATGTGGGCATTCTCTTCCCAAAATGAATGGCTGGTTGGGCAGGCGGGGGCATTTTGGGATTTGAAATTGTAATTGTTTAACTCCTGATCTTGATGCCATTTTGGCTCAAGATCGGGAGAGGGATTTACTTTTCTCCCAACCCACCCACCCTTGACACCCTCTGCAGGCCCTGTAGGATGTCGGGGTCCAGTCAGGATTTCATACACACTCCCTGTGCGGGTGGTATGTTAAGTTCATCTAAGATGTCTTTACCAGCTAGTTTGTGTGTTTTCCACCACGACTGATACCCAGCGCTATTTCATAACACTTAATAAGAACCCGTGTTTATGTTTGTGGTCGCATGACAGGTGCTCGGAGAAATCTCCGGACTTTGTTCGCTTTTCGAAAGACAAGAAAGGCTCTCATGAATACGCTTTGAGCTTACCCTCACGGTTCTGTTTGAACATCGGGGTGCCACATGTTTGCTTCCATGATGGCCCATGAGTCCGAGACTGCCATTTGGCCCCTTTTCTCCTGGTCCTGTAGGACTCGTTCTTGCCGGAGGAGGAAAAGCTTGTCGCTCAGAGAAACGGTGCTGGAATCGTCACGCCGACATGCCAACGAGAAAGGGACCCCCGGAATCTGTCAACTTTCAAAGTCCATGAATCTTATGTTGTTTCACCCAAACCTTTCCCAAGCTTTCCAAATCAGTCTATCCCACGAGATTGGCTCCCATCCACGTCTTCTTTTTCTCACATCGCCAGCATTGCTCAGGCTGCGGTTGGCGATTTTCGACTTCCTGGCTGGGTGGAGGGCACAGGTTCCATGGGCCTGGGTCCGTGGGCAATCAAAGACATGGATGTTGGAGGGTAAGGTGTAGACTCTGCAGAATATTGGATTTTTGATAGGGGTGTGTTTCAAAACAGGAGGCCTCCCAAACACCCTTCAAAAAAGGAAAATTGACCAAACCCTCTGGTTGGGTGTCTCCGATCTCCGATATTAAACATACATACCCATATTTACCGTGTTGACAGGGTCAGGTTGGGCTGGGTGCCTTGCTTTTTTGTTCTGGAGGTCCTACGTTATCTACGCCTAGGAACTTCCGCAAGAAATGTGGCGGACACATCTGTGTAGGTCTTGAATCAATCCATGCCCACAATTTGCATGAAAACTCTAGATCTCCGTGTGAACTCCAAACTGTTTGAGCCTGTTTGAGGCTGTTGGGTGGGAATCTTTATGAAGATTTCAAGGGTGAAGCTCCAAGGTTCTTTCAATCTCTTTGCCACCAGTGTGACACATGTCCTTGATGCAAGGATGTCACTTTGATTCAGAGTTTCTGCAGATCCTGCAGATTCTAACACAATGTTTACATGATCTTTACACTCGTCAGACGGGGCAGTGCCGGGCGATGGGCGAAAACACCCAGGTGATCCCACCACTGAGCGACCCAGCTCACCTGGCCGCGGGGGCAGCAGGAGCTGGCCACGTTGCAGCATTGCGCCGTGCATCCGCTGGTGGCTGAGGCCGAAAGAGGGGGCGATGTGTTTGGAGTGCGTTTGGCATGTGGGCCGCTGGTGAGACAGGATTCTTTAAAGCCCGCTCCTCCTTCATTAAGTAGGCGCTTACTTAGTTAAGCAAGGGACAACAAGCTCCTAGGTACTTAGCTTCTGGTAACTGGACGCACAGGATAGCTCACCCTTCTTCAAGGAAGCTCCCCCCGCTTGAGGGCCGAGGGGGAGCTTCCTTGAAGAAGCGCTCGCACGAATGAAGAACTGTTCCTAACAGCGTCCTTGCTCCTAGTAGTAAGGCCAGGAGCCCCTAGTAGCGTCCTTGCTCCTAGTAGCGATACCAGGAGCCCCTAGTAGCTTCTTGTTCCTAGATTTTCATGGAAACTTAACTTTAGAGCACCACATGACCTGGGTCAGTATTCCAACTCTGTCAGTGCTGTAGGGTCTGTTTTGAGCTCTGCAATCTAGCAGCGCAGAGTTGAGAGTTGCCAGCTAGGGTGTGCCAGAAAAAGTTTACCAAGTGATGAGGTGTTGGCTTGTCATGTCGGTTGAAGGAACTTGGAAAACATGGGAACCACCTACGAACACATGCAACCACATTGAAGACGGAAAGACCTCAACTCATCCCACTGAAATGGAACCGCATGCTCTTCCCTCCGCATGGTCAGGCCAAGAGAAGCTTGCAGGGCTCTCAGCTGGCGCATCAACCGACAGTTTGGTCCGTTTTGCCCCACAAAGGCCATGGCTTGACTCTTTTTGAGCATCACGGATTCCTTGTAAAGAGGGTCGGTTTGTGGGATTGATGGAACTTCATGGACATTCCAGGTTTGACTCCAAATCGAGAACTCTGGTTCAGACTTTCTTGAGGTTTCCAGTTTTGGATCAGAATCAAACGCAGTGAGTTTCACCGCCGCCACGTTGAGGTTCAAGCACCATGTGTGGGACCCTGGGGGTGGTACGGACAGGTTGGGCGGACGGTGTTCTGGAAGAAACTTGGAGTAAACAGTTAGGGGTGTTCTTGGAGCGAAGTTTCTATCTCAAGCAAGCCATATGCGCAGGTTGAGAGATTGAACAGAATGATTTACAGAATGTGATGAGGGGTGTTTAATCCATTTTAATCCCAGTTTTGGAATTGTTTTGGATTCATTTTCTCTATTACCGCAGAAGGGTTTCAGAACCTTCAGAACGTGTCCCATGAACTGGTCCCATTGCAGACAGGCTCCTCAACTGGATATCACGAAACGGATGTTGCTCAGTGTGCTGTTCTCAAAACCTCACCCATCTCCATCAATACATGGAAACACGCACAGAATTTGGGGGATTCTTCTCTTCCAATATGGCTGTGGGTAAAAACCCGGAGCCCCTTTCACCAGGGTAGGTTGACCTCACAGGTAGTGCATTCTGTTCATTCGCCAGGTGGTCAACCAGGGTGTCCCCGTTTTGACCCACAGCCACATCAAAATTGGTTGGGCACAGAAAGTATTGGGTTCTAGACCACTCCCTTGAGAAGACTTGGGGTCACCCAGAGACCTCATACGGAAGGAGCAAATAGAGACGAACATCATTCGGCCTAATGGGTCAATTCATTGCTAGTAGGCCGATGGGCAATAGACACCTCCCTCCGTACCATGCTTGGGGCAAGGAGACACCTCCAGTCAGGGTGTTTGCTGAAATCTGAAACCTCCATGAGACGTGCTACGAATCAAGGCTGTCAACTTCAAAGATTGGATTGAGCGTCGGATCGGCGCGGAGCTGCGGGGGCACCCAGTGACGGCGCAAGACCGGTCGGCTCCCGATGGTCAAAGACTTCCGAGTGAGGACTGTAGCTCAGTCGTTGGAAGGGCTGTGGCAAAGTTTGATTTCTTAGTCTGGCTGGTAACCTGAGGGTTTGACCAAAGACCACACTCTTTTCGGCTGCTTATGGGCCAAGCAAGAGCGCACCGCGAGCACCTTGGCTCCAGTGAAAGAGACGTTCAAGCACGTTTGAACCCAGTGTTGAAGATTGAAGTAAGAAAGAGGTCACAGCTGCAGAGAGGTAGCTGCCACAGCTGCAGTAGCTGCCACAGCAACAGCTTGCTGCTTCATCTTTGGTGACTTGAATCTTTTGGATTCAAATCCGCTCAGTCGCGGCCTCAGAAGAGCGGCTCAGGCAGTTGCGAAAGAAGCTGCTCGGAAGCCACAAAAAGCAGCACCTGCCAGCACGCAATTGGGGGACATATTGCGAAGTGCTTCATTTTTGTTCATGTACGAGGCAGACAGTTCGATTCGATTTGATTCCCGCCCTCGTGCCGCCACGAGGCGCGATCTGTGGATTTCCTGTACAAAAATGACCTGCGGTTCTCTGGAGAGCCGCGCTGTGCTTCCCGTCACGACGGGCTCGCTGAGTGAGCAAAGTGTGGGACCCTGGAAGGAGATTGGAGGTGGAACACTGGTGGGTTCCGGCGATGTTTTTGGGCCTTGATCAGCCAGACCCCAAGGCTGGAACAGCGCTAGGCTTAGCTTAGCTTCTCAGCTCACCAAAGGCTTGTTCATTGAAACCTTGTTGCCACAAAGTGGAAAGATTTAGGCTTGAGATCGAACCTTCTGTCTGAGGTGAAGACTTTCTTACTGCCAAGGCCGCTTGTTGCGATATCTTTGTTGGAGGAAGTGAACAAAGCAGAGAAAAAGAATGTCTGAAGATTTGAATGCAGTGGGGGAAACCAACTACATTTCACTCCACAGCTCGCATCAGTTGATGATGTATGATGGCCACAGTGATTTAGATGTTGCCACGCGCGCATGATGTTGGCACGCGTGCATGATGGCAAGTCTTGTCGCTGGAACAGGTGTCAACCCTCTCAAGGGGTGGGAAAGGATTGTCCAGCAAAACAATACGAGATGGCCTCCAAACAAATAGCCATGGCCTCCAAGCTCATAGCAACGGGTTCAAACCCGCGAAACCCTTCATGTCCAGCTAAATACGAGTCATCCAGCCTAGATGTCCTTCTTCAGGCACCATCGAAAACCAAGCTGCAGGTGCTGGACGTGTGTGACGCGCGTGAGACGTGCGACACCGCGGAGATTTTGGAGACACTTGAGGATGCGCGGCTCTCAGGCTCTTAGGTCCCCCATCAACCTACTAGCAAATTAGCAATGACCTCCAACCTCATGCTTGTGAGACATCCTACTCATGGTCAAAAGGTTGTTGCCAACCTACAGCCAATGAAGCAAGTCTAGGTAATAAAGCAGGCATCCCCTACGTTCCATCACGTTGACATCCATGATTCTAGCGGTAGATTGCCAACCAACAGCCAATGAAGCAAGCATCCTGTGTATTCTGACATGCAAACTTTAATCATTGAAACAGCCGCAGCTAACACTCCACCTGCCATCACGTATCATTCTGTTTGTAGGTTGCCAACCTACAGGCAATAAAGTACGCATCACCTGCATTATATCATGCAATGATGCACTGCATCATTCTAGTGCCAACCTGCAGGCAATAGAGCCGACATAAGCATCCTGCAATCATATATCATTCTAGCTGTATGTTGTCAACCTACTTTGCAAACACTTATCATACAGCTGTAGGTTGCCAACCCAGCCGATGAAGCGCGTATCCCGTGCATTCCGACGTGGAAAAACGCTTTAATCATTGACACAGCTCACAGCTAACTCGCAGTCTGCAAGCATGAATCATATAGCTGTAGGTTGTCAGCCTACAGGCAATAAAGCATACATTACCTACATTCCATCCCGCGAACATCCATGATTCCAGCCGTACATTGCCAACCCACGGCCAATTCTGAAGTCTGCGATCGACAATAAAGCCATAGGTTGCCAGCCACATGAAGCAGACATCACCTGCATTCCACAATGCAATTATGCACTATTCTAGCTGTAGGTGCCGACCTGCATGCAATGAAGCAGACATCATTTGGATTTCACACGAACATTGATGTTTAGCTGCAAGTTGCCAACAGCCAATGAAGCGCGGATCCAAGTATTCTAACAGCTACCACCTAACCTGTAAAGGTAAATCAATCTAGCCGCCAAGCAATAAAGCAAGCATCATGCGCATCAAGACCTGCAACCATTAGGACCAACAGCCTACAAAGGAAGCGTTTGCATGCCGACATGCAAACTTCAAATTCTACCATTGCAACCAACAAACACCAATCGCCAGTCACATAGGTTGCCAACCTACAGGTAATAAAAGGAGGCATCACCTATATTCCATCATGCAAACATTCAGGATTCCAGCTGTAGATTGCCCTGCGTATTCCCACATGTAAACTTTCATCATTGAAACAGCTAACAGCAAACATGTAATCTTACAGCTGCAGGTTGCCAGCCTACAGGCAATAAAGCAGGCCTCACCTGCATTCTGCCCAGGTTGTCAACCTTGCAGTGATAAAGCAGGCTTCACCTGCACTGCAAACGTATATACAGTAAATCATTCGAGCTGTAGGTTGCCAACCCTACAGGCAATAAACCAGGCACCACCTGCATTCCGTGTTGCAAACATGAATCATCTTCGCTGTATGTTGCCAACCTACAGGCATCAGTTGCATTTGGTCCTGCAAACATGAATCATTTGTCAAACCTACAGCCAATCAAGAAGGCATCACCTGCATTCTGTGATTCAAAGATGGATCATTCTAAGTGTAGGTTGTCAACCTACAGGCAATAAAGCAGGCTGTTCATGTTGACTTGCAAACTTCTTGCAAGCACCCATCATTTTCTGTTGGTGGCCAACCTCCAGGCAGGCCTGAATTCCGTCCCGCAAACAAATTTTCGCTGTAGGGCTGTGGGTTGCGGCGAATGAAGCAGGCATCATTGCGGATTCCGTTCAAACACCGATCCTTCCAGCCATGGAAATGCCACACCTTGACAGACTTGATGAACACCTGCAGCCAATGAGGCATTCATCGCCTACGTTTCGACCTGCTAAACATGAATCATTGTAGCTGCCGATGGGCAATCTACAGCCGAAGAAGATCTCAAAGCACTGCCTGGCTGGGTCTGCATGACCCAGACACCAGACACCAAACCATTTGTAGGTGCCTTGGGATGGCACCCCCGACCGACCCTATTGGCCGACCCGCTGCCCAGGTCCCCTGCACGCCGGAGAAGCGCCGGCGCATGGACCTGGATGCCATCGCTCGCATCGCGACGCCTGCCAAGGCGTTGGACGGGTTTTGGTGGGTCCCGAGGAGTTCTCGGTGGTTGAAGGGGGAACCCGGAGGGCGATGCACTCAATCAGGGAATTGTGAGGGAATCCTTGAATACCTAAGGAGCACCCAGAAAGACGACCTCGTGGAGACCACGTCTCTCTGATGGTCGCACCCAGGTGCGGCGCCTCTCTGTGCAGACGCCCACGTCTCCGCGAACGTGTGAATCGATTGTGGAGAGCAGGACGAAGAGGAGGCAGACATCATAAGGGGCAGGCGGTTGGGTGTATCAATGGTGATGGCATGTTTTTCTGCTTGTGTTTTTGTTACCTGCAGAAGTAGTGACCCTCATTTCCATGGTGGAAAGCAGTGCCTGGCAGGCAGGAGTCCATTTCTCTTAACCGGGAGTTGGCTCACCTTGGTCAATTGGTCAATCTCTTAAGTTTAGTTCCAGACAATGTCACTTCAAGAATTTCCCTGGTTGAGGGCCAGTTTTGGGACTTCAGTTTAGTTTTGTTCCATATTCTCATGCCAGTTTTTGAAGAACCATTTGGATGTGCTTTAGATTCACCAGAGCCTCCACGCCACTTTTTCAAGGTCAGCAGCTGGCCAGCAGAAGGCCTTGAAGGTGGGGGAAGCTGGTGAGAGCTGGGGCCCGTAGGTGCCCTCCCTATTTGTTGTGGAATGACAGATATATATACAGTCTCTTTGTGCGGATATAAAGGTGTCCATGCTGTTCCTAAGTCTGGGAGCGAATCAGGTGTAGCAAAGATCAGACTCCCCAAACATCCGATAGCAATTGGAGTGAGAAAGAACCGAATCAAACACAGCCGAAGGACACACCCGAAGGACACTTCCTTGTGGGAAAAACATCATCCTTCGCAGTCCTTCGCACCAAAAAGGGACCGCTGTGGCCGTCCAGGTCGCCGGACCCTCGGTGATTCAGACCTTGCGAGGCGCCACGGTCAGCTGACCGGTTCGCCACATTTTATGGGCGGGGTTTGGGGCAGCCGAGGGCAGGGGTCGTTCGATGGAGAGGGTTGTTTCTTCCGCAAGGCCCTAGGTCTAGGCGCTTGGTTCTGTGGTGGACGAAAAGGTGAACTTGAGTCCCTGCGGACGACCTCGGTGAAGAGACAAAAGACCATGAAAGACTCTAAATATGTGAATAACCTTGAGAACCCTAATAAGATATGCAAAAAATCCTCTTTCGCCAGCTGCGGAGCTGCTTTAAGCACCTCTGGGTTCCCAGTGCCGACCCACGGCGCGGGCATAGGTATCAAAAGAAAACTTAAAAGAGCATCAAAAAAACATATTCCTTGATAGGCCTCTTCTGCTGCTCTCCTGGCCCTGTGGTCTGCGGGTCCTCTGGTAATAAGGTCTCTTGGTCCCTTGGTCCTCTGGTCCTTTGGTCCCCTGGTCCCTTGGTCCTTTGGTCCACTGGTCCCCTAGTCCTCGGTCTCCTGGTCCTCTGGTCCTGTGTTTCGCTGGTCCCCTGGTATCCTGGTCCTTCTGTCTCCTGGTCCGCTGGTCTCTTGCTCTCCTACTCGTCTTTCGGTCTCCTGGTCCCCTGCTTGCGCAAATAGAGGCAGCTCCATGGGAGGAAAGTAGGTACCCAATGATGGTAGCCGTCCAGTCATTGAGTAGCCCTACTCGAAGAATGGTTCACCAGTAGAAATAGCTCCCTACTAGGAAGGAGCTCCTAGGGAGGTACACTCTCCTAGTCCCCTACTCCTTCCAGCCTCTTCCCTTGGTCTCCTAATCCTGCTACTGCTACTGCAACCATCCTCAGTGGGCTAGTATTTTTTCGATTTTCTTTTTACTTTTTTATTGATCCCCGTTGAATATTGACTTTTTGATTCTATTTTTATTTTATTTTTTGATCCCTTACCCTTACGGTGCGGTGAGGCCGCCTCCAAGGGCGCGAGGTGGCACTGCTGCTTTGTGGGGAGTCCCACGAGGACGGGGAGTCCGGGAAAAACGAGAAGAGGAGGGCATGATCGGTGGAGCTTGTTTTTTTTGCCGGGAGAGGGCAAGTGGATAGAGACCACTGCAAAGCCCCTTGAACAAATCATGTTTAGCTTTGACCTCACGAGAAAAGGGCTGCATTTACCTGGGTTGTCCTTTGTTCAAATCATGTGCTGAGTGTCCCTACCAAGGACAATCTCCGCCTTGGTTCATCACAAGAGAAGGGATAGTGAGGTTCTGTCCTCTAGGTCTTTAGGTCCCTCCTGTCTGTGCTTGAAGGCTTGAATCCTCTGCTGTCTGGGCTTGTTCAAGTGACATCGGGGCTCATCCCCAGCTGGTCGACCCGGGTCGCCGGGTCGCCTGGTCGAGAGGATACGATCGACCTCACTCGATCCAAAGGCGCCGGGTCAGGATTGTCGACTCCAAGAATCTACTAAAAACAAGGACGCTACTATCCACAAAAAGGTCTTGAAGATCATCTGTGGGGATCTCCTATAGATTTCCCACTGATCATGCATTTGGCAACAGCCATGCAAAGCCAATCCCGCTTGGAACTTGAACCCGATGACTCAACCATCAATCATTCTCCAACAGTCTGTGGGAATGAATCATAAAAAACAAGTTCATCCGTCAGCAAAGTGGGTGCCGAAAACCATGCTTTGACGGTGTTGGTTTCTTGGTCTGGGTGTTGGATGGTTTTGTTAGATGGGATTGAGCTTTCCGCATGTGAAGGCCTTGAGCTGGCATGCAGACTGTGGAGCCTTCATTATACTTGATGTCTTTGAAGTGGTGAACACTTATGTATACTCCCAAGAGGTTAGGAGGTTAAGCAATAGTAGACTTCTTCGTACTGCTGACAAGTCTAATCGAATTTTAGGGAGTCGACGGCAGAGCCACCAATCTGCAAATCTTTGAATTCGATCCTGCCGGAAAACGATGCTTAAATTTTGCGCATCATCGATAAGGCGTGGTGGCTGCAGAGGAGGGCTGGATCCCCTGTGCCGGCTCGCACGCCTGCTTCCAGCCCGAGCACGCGCTGGCACAGAGAGGTTTTCGTGCGGCTCGCACGTCGCTGGGACGGGGATCTCAACATCGCCCATTGGTTCAAGTTTGGTCGTTGGATTCTTACTGTTGATGTTTGGGAGCCCTCTTCCAGGGACTGATCGATCTGATTCATTTGAGTGACCTTTCATGGGATATTTCTTTGAGCCTGAGTCTGTTGGGCATAGAGAGGAAAGGAGAGATGTCAGCGATGCAACCTTTTGACATTTGCTTCCAACTCACACATTTTGAGGGTCAAAGACTTGTGCCAGTAGTGTCGGGCATGGAGACCAGTGAACATCAATGACAGTTCCAGTTCTTGGTGCTCCTGTGCAGATCGGCTCACCTTGAAGGGTGCACAGCGCTGGGCTGATGAGGTGTTGGCCAAGACTGCAGAGGCTGGGATGGCAGGTGATGATTTTCAAAAGAATCTTGCAATTTTTGCGAAAACAGTGAAATCATCACCAGCTGACGAGAACGCTCCAGTAAGAGGCAGGATCGATTTTGCAGTTTCATAAATAATGTTTGCCTCAATTCAACTGTATACGCGCAGATGATTGGATATTGGATGAAGCGATTTAGTTTGGGCCTCTCATCCAAGCATCAAAGGACGTGTGAATATACGTGTGCAGAACCAACTTGCCCTTCAAATTTGTTTGATCCCTCTTTAGGTACGCAAAGGCTGAAAGAGCGGGATTGAGTTGGCCAAAAGGGGTTGTTGTTTGTCAGACTTCCGAGTAGTGGAACTAAAAGACGACTTCTGGAGCTGAAGATTCACCTTCATAGATGTCTACTAGCACTGAAGTGGTACTCATAGCTGCCATAGCTTCACCTTGAAGACTGCTTCATAGCTTTCGAGCAGCACCCATCCACCGGAGACTGCCCGGCCACTGCTTTGGCCACCTGTGACACCTGGAGGATGTGAAGATTGCTGGAGCGCATCTGGTTTTCGAGCCACAGACCAGGCGTGGTCCCATAGCTGTGATGGCCATGGTGCCAGATCGGCATTCGCTCCATGCCTTTGAAAACACATGGTCTCTCTCTCTGTCTCTCTCTCTCTCTCTCTCTCGCTCCCTCTCTCTCTCTCTCTCCCTCTCTCTTGTGTCTCTTTGTGTGTCTCAGATGAAAGGCCATTGAAGACCCCAAGTTAGGACCCATCTCTGCGGTCAGGACCCGCGGCAGCGCCCGTGTCTTCCTGCCCTCGGTGATAGCGCAGAAGCACGGCGGCCGGCCAGATGCTCTGGTCTTCCGCTTTGGTGATCTGGATGAGGCAGTGGCTGTGTGACCTGCATGTGGCGCAGCGATATGGAGTGGGGTATTTCCAGAGTCAGGGAATTAACTCTAGGTGCAGTTACCATGCTTGTTGATCTAGGAGAAGACGGAGGTACAGATCAAGGAGGGGGTGGCGATGTACTCCCCTTCGTCCAGGGGCCTTACAGGTAGTTGACCCGAAACCTGGATCACCTGTACACCCGTGGCGATCGCAGGGGTCGATGTGTTGGGGCCAAACAAGTCCTTCTCGTCCTTCACCCGCAAAGCCAAGCCTCTCAGCATGGTTCGATGAACTGGGAGATTTTCAACAAGTGCAAAAGCACAGATGCGACCATGACACAAACTTGAGCAGAAGAGAGGGATGCGACACAAAATTGGCGGCCAAATCTCCTGACAGCGTATCACATTTGTGGCTCAAGACACAGCTGTTTGTGTCTTCCTTGAGCGCTGTCAGGAAGCAGAGCGCTTCAACCAGCGGAGGCTGAGGCCCAAGGAGTGAGATTGAGACAGGGACAGGACAGGGACAGGACGGATGGTGAAGGCAGTTCTTCTTCAGATTGAGAGGTTTTGACTTGTTTTAGATTGGTAACTGTAGATGGATTACTTTGCAAGTCGTTTTCTTCCTCCAAAATTGAGTATTCACGAACTGATATTGGTAAGAGAGGGGATTCGACATGAATACCCCCAAAGTGAGATGCTTTGCTGTGAATCAGCCTGTGACTACCGGAAAAGTAATGTGGCATCGTGGGACCTTCAGACCAAACGGAACCCTTTCTTGTTACTAGTAGCTACTTGCTCCTAGTAGTACGGCCAGGAGCCCCTAGTAGCGTCCTTGCTCCTAGCAGCTTCTTGTTACTAGTAGCGTCCTCTTGTTACTAGTAGTAAGGCCAGGAGCTTCGCTCCTAGTTGCGATGCCCCTTGCTACTAGTAGCTTCTTGTCATCGTGGGTGAAAGGGAACACCCTCTGTTCTCAATAGCAGTCTTCCCCGCTGGTCGAAAAAGGAGCAGCGTGATTCCGTGGAGGAGCAGGCGAGCTTGCGAGGGCAGCGGGGCTTTTTTAATTTTCTTTTTCTCGAGGACCCATAGCGATGGCCTCCAAACTAGAAGCGATGGTTTCCACCTTAAGGGCAGCATCTGTACAGGTGTTGCTCTTCAGTCCTTGCACTTGTCCTGAATGGTCTTTAGTCCAAGAATAGCTTGTGAACCTTTGGGCGGTGGCAGCGGTGGCAAGAGGTTGAAGGAGGCCTTTGCACAAGACTATTGGATCCTTTGTTCTGTGAGATTCTGGGAGGACAATTTTCAACCGTGTGGATGAAGTGTTTGGGTAGAGGTAGGGTCTGTAGAGCACAGAATGAAACCTGCCTGCACAGGAGAACAATTGAACAACCAGAAAAACATCTGGTATCTAACCATGCAGTGTGTGGCCAGACCGGTGTGAAATAAAGGGATCTAGGCATTTCGTTTCGGTTGGCAAAAGGAGCATTGGAGAGGGTTCTTCTGCTGCTTGGACTAAGAAGTTTGAGATCTATCACCACTGTGCGTCAAGAAGAGGGAGATGGATAGATAGCTAGAGATGTGTCTCACAAGTTGCACTTTTCCTGGTGATCGAGACTCCAAGGGAGCTCCCCATTGGCTTTCGCAAGGACACGCTGCTGGCGAAGAGGAAGGCCCAACGAAGGGCGGAGGGCTTCGAGCTCTTTGACGATTGGCTCTTGCGGCAGGTGTGCCCTGGGCTGAGGGGTGCAATCGGCAGAAGTTGTGGTGATGTTGCTCAGATGCACCCGTTGCTGGTCGAGGAAATGGCTTTTCAGCTCGTTTTGTGCCATTTGGTGGTGGGAAGTGCACTGGGGCCCGTGCATCTTTTGAAATTTGATGATCAAACCGAACCATACGAACTCCCAGTGAACAAATGGCAGGTCAGCCATGCAGGTGTCGCTGGTCGCCCAAATACAGCTGACCGCGCTTGCTGACGGCACAAGAACAAATTCTGGTGGCCTTACCTCTCTCTTCATTGAAACTCATATCAAAGAAATTGTCAGATCATATCAGTAGAGACACGCGCATGAACAAACGCAGTCCTTTGGTGGGGTGCTCCCTTCTTTCAATATCGATCTTCGTTGGAACAAGGGCAGTAGTAGTAGTAGTAGTAGTAGTAGTAGTAGTAGTAGTAGTAGTAGTAGTAGTAGTAGTAGTAGTAATGCCCTTGTTACTAGCAGCGATGCACCTGTTACTAGTAGCTTCTTGCTACTCTAGGGCACCCCGTCCTCAGCCCTCAGTCCTGCCAGGTCGACTCGGAGGACGTGCATGCCGCTTGGTCGAGGGTGAGGGGGGTGGCTGCCTCCGGGCCCCCAGGGGCTCGGAGGCCGTGGGGGAGGTGAGAGCGAAGATTCTACTAGCTTCTTGTTACTACCAGCGATGCACTTGTTACTATACTAGCGATGCACTTGTTAATACTAACTCATCGAGTCAGAACACTTAACTTTCGAGTTCTTAGCGCCGTCTAACGCGCGGAAGGATCCCACGAGTCGATCGCTCCCGCTGCCCAGGTGGAAGTGGTTTTAGAAGCGCCGGTGAAGGCGGAGGAGTTGCAGTTGCACGTGCAGGGCGAGGCTAACCCCACGCAGAACGAAAAGCACATGCTGCGGATGTTTCGACTGGGGGGAGTGAAGCAACATGGCCAAAAACAGGCTCAGATTGCACTTGGTACCTGACTGTTGGGTCAAGGAAGGGGGAAGTTCTGTTTCAATCGTGCACTATGGAGGGTCATTTATATTCCTCGTGACCGTTGTGGCCCCCCTATACCTGTTGAACCAAGGTTTGCAACTTTCTTGGCCCTGCAACCTGCACGTCGCGGGCGATGTCCGGCCCTGACGGAAGGCCTCCTTGCCTGCGCCCCATGAGCGTTTGGAGAGCATCGATGTGGACTCGGAGGTGTGGAGCATCGGCATGGATGGGTTGGTTGGATTGCGAGATGGATTGGTTGGTTGCTTGGAATGGTTGCTTTCCCCCCACGGGAGAAGTCAGAAGTCAATACACTATCTTGCCGAAGAGCCGAGCCACTCGTGCCGCATGCTCTCCACTCATGTTGAGACATCTCCAAACTCGCTGCAGGAAGACTCCGATGAAGCCTCGACACCTGGAGCAGGTGGGGATTGAGTGGAGATTGCGGAAGAAGCACTTCGGTGATGTTGGTTGGTTGGTTGGTTGGTTGGTTGGTCGGTTCTTTTTCATCTTGGACGACTAGCAAAGGCACAAGAAGCTTCCAGCCAAAAATGGGCGGTTTGCTTTGAGCTTTTCAGGAGAGACTTGACATTTGATTTGTGCACTCCTGGCTTCTCAACCTTTTCAGAAGTTGGTGTGGTTTGCTTGTGGCCACTCAAACCACTCTAACGCGGGGTATAAGTCCGTTTGCTACTGGAAGGGAAAGAACAGCATTTCTTTGGGGAGGGTCAACTTGGGTCATCCCAGAGTCTCCTGGATTTCTTCGTGAGTGGCTTGACCTTCATTGCAAGTCCCAGCGGTTGCATGGACTTGTGAGGGTGCATCCATTCACAGACCGCCGCAAGAAGTTTAGGTCAAATCTTCCGAACCGCCTGATATCTTTGTGCCACACCATTTCCATTTCCACGTCTTCGTTGCCAGGCTCCTACCTGGACTTCCTGCGGCGTCGGCTGCTGGGCACCAAGCCTGAGCGCCTGCATGGTGTGGACTGTCGGATTTTGGGTGACCCGGAGGACGGGAAGCGGCTCTGGGCGGTGATCGTGATGTTGCCACGGCGGACGAGGGTGGTGTAAGGACTTGGCTGCTCTTGCCTGTAAACCGTGTCACACCTTTAGAATTTGATCAGATGCTGAGATACTTGTGACCTCACCGGGTCTAAACTTGAGCTGCTCTTGCGTTTCTGAAAGCTGTTTGCTTGTCGCCCTTTGACTCATTCTAGATGCCTAACCAGTCTATTTGGTGTAGGTGTCTAAGTAGCTTTCACATCAGTTGCAGTTGGTTTGTTCTGAACTTCGACAACATTTGCGGGGACGGCTTTCTTCCAAAACCTTAGCTGAAAGCCTCCAGGAAATGGGCAACTTGGGAATGTCCCATGCACAACCATAGATTTTTTCAGGACCCCCGAACGACTCAAATTGTGGGAAGTTGCGCCAAGGCCCCCCAAAACAGGAACTACCAGAAGTTCTCAAGGGATCTCCAATGAGATGTCGTACATCTACTGTAATAAACCAACAGAAGTAACAGAAGCATTGAGCAAGCTGACCTTCTTTCGATCGGACACACTGGACTTGCTTTTCTTTTTTTCTAGGCCTAGGGAGTTTTCTACAACAAATCTCCAAGACAAGGTTCCACCGTGCTGCCATTGCACCGTTGAGCAGGATGAGCACCTGCCAAAGACTCTGCAGGGCTCCTACGAGCAGCTGGCACCCGCCCGCCAGGGGACCCAAAGGGAGAAGCCGAAGCCGGCGGAGTCCGGCCAGGTGGGTTGGGTTAATGTTGGTGGATGACCTTCTGCAAAAAGGTGAGGAACAGAGGACACTTTGTTTTCTGCTGCAGGCCGAGTTGCCCGACAACTTACGGTGCGGCGCACCACATGCTCAAAGAGTGTTCCATCACCGACATTCTCGGGCGCAAGTTCCCCCCAAAACAACACCACATCCAGACTGATTTTTTGTGTACTGTACCAGACACATATGTTGCTAGTACCATCACCATGCTGCAGAAGGTCAGCATGACCTTCGTTTGAATTGAGCAGGCAGGAAGAGAGTTACCTAAAGCACGGACAAAGACCAAAGTGACCAAAGAGGAAAGGGAGGTTGATAATGTACAAGGGCAAATACCACAGCAACAAGAGTTATTGCCGCAGGCTCCTAGGAACAATAAGCTACTAGGAACAAGTGCATCGCTTCTAGTAACAAGTGCCTTACTACTAGGAGCAAGAAGCTACTAGGGGCTCCTGGCCTTACTAGTAGTAACAAGAAGCTTTTAGAAACAATAAGCTAGTAGTAACAAGTGCCACGCTAGTAGTAACAGGTGCCTTACTACTAGTAACAAGAAGCTACTAGTAAGACGGACTTTCACTTTCTCAGACTGTCCCCCCCAGTGGCTCGCACAATGGATCGGTGCTTTGCCTCCGCTCCGCCTCGCTTCGGCACCACGAGGTGGCTCCTCTTCGGTGCGAAACCCAGTGAACTTGTTCCTAGTAGCGAACATTGTTACTACTAGTAAGGCACTTGTTACTAGAAGCGATGCACTTGTTACTAGTAGCTTCTTGTTGCTCGACAGGGACATGCCGATTTGATCCGCGACATGATGGTGAAGCCTATGGGCCCCAGAAATGCTGCAGATAACCCATTTGATGAACGTGGACCCTAAAAACCAGCGCAAGGGTAATGAGACATCGCCTTCCATTCCAGTTGTCCATTTTCGTCCATGTGGTCCGTTTGCAAGGGGGAGAACAAACATGAAAAACACAACAAGACCAGGCTGGTCAGAACCAAACAGCGAAACTGTAACAGTCTCGGTTCTGGTGGAACCGAGTCTGACTGGTGACCCTTTGCGCCATCAATGACCCAACGACTCCAGGAGTTGGAGCCCTTGCCCTCCTGGGAGGCGACACGTCGGTGTTCTCTGTGTCGCCCGTGCCCGGGGGAGTGCCTCCGAGGCGGTGGTATATCTGCCATGTATAATGTACCAGGCTGACCTTGTTTGACTCCGTTTCCCTAAGCTTTTTTTTCATTCTCTTTTCCTTTGATTAGTCCTGGGTGGACCCAATGAGTCTTCGACGTGCCCGCCCTCCGATATTCTGGAGGGTTCTATAATGCGGCCTGCCTCACCTGCAGTGCACCTTGTTTGGTTTGAACACTCTCAATGGTCTTGGCTGGAGAGGGGATGAACGCCTTCTAAGTGTACGACAATTCCTTTACCAAATGGTAATCCATTCCCAGCATGCTTTCTGCCTGGAGGCTTTCTTTGGAGGTGCTGCTGATCTGCTGTACTACGCACCTCATGTGGGGTGCTGCAGAATTCTGCCCGGGGTGGTGGAACAAAGGTCGATAGGTTTGGTATTGGATGTGTGGCATCGATAAGTCTGCAAACTTGATGGAAGCTCCAAAGTCCTGACTGTTTGAAACTCTGATGACCCTGGCCCTGGAAGACCTTGAAAGACTGTTGGGTCAATGACCCGTGCGTTTGGTTTGACTGGAGGCTTGAAGGCTTGTGATCAGCTGGACGGACAATGCGGCTGACTGTGTTCAATTGCGACTCCTCGAAGTGGCTTTTGCGACCAATGCTGATGGAAAGGGGGGCCCATGAATGGCGACCTACAAGCCATGGGAAACATTGATGTTGACCCAGGAACAGATCATTCGGAAGAGAAACTAATCATTGTAAAACCCGGTTCACGGCAATCTAGTTCTTTGTTAGATCCTACTTCTTCTTGAGCGGGTTTGGTTGAAAAAAGCTGAGAGTCGGGACCAACCAACCACAATCAAATGAATTCTAGTGAGGCGAGCTATGGGGCCTATATGCCCACTATTGTTGGTTGAACCAACCAACCCTGCAAAATGCTGGTTTCAGAAAAGATCAGACACCCTCCCTGCCAGGTAAAAGCTGACTATGCACCCTTCTTGAAGTCCTGTGTGGGCTCTGCCGAGCCTTGGCTGGGGCGAGCCGCCCTCGCTTCTTTCATTGGCCCGCTGGTTCGCCGGTGTAGGCTGAGCTCATCTTTGTAATCTTTGTACTTGTTTCAGAAGAAAGTATATCCAAAGGAATACCTTATCACGCTATCAATTGTATTCTCAAGTTCTCAAACGTTTGGGCCATGAGATCAAACTCTCAGAATGCCAGCGCTCCGCATACGACCATGCTCTGTCGCATATGTCCACCCCTGCCAAGGAGAACTTGAGATGCTTCTTCCAAAAGCTGTTCTGACCTTAGCTCTCCGTAAAGGTTTTGATAGACTGCGAACCTTGCGAAGCCTTAGTTGCTGGCAGGTTTTATTTATTGGAGCTTAGGATCGCAGGTAAACCATCGCTCCCAAACTGCTTTCCTCTCGCAGGTTCTTTGAATCCGTTCCAGATGCCATGTCCTTGCTCAAACTGAATGAGGACAGCTCCTGGTGCAGCAAAGTGTCAGTGGCTTGTCTCACCTCCCTCTTGTTTTGGAGAGTGTGTCAGATCGTGAAATGCACATCTGAACAGAAACCGCGGCTCAAAGCTTTGTGAGATTCTTGCTCTCATACCCTGCAGCTTGCTTTATAAGAGGCAGCTTGCTCGGATGACCCAAGTTGACGACCCGTCCGGTGCGAGCCACGGCAGGACACGCAGCGCTGCTGCCACGTGCGCGATCCGGCGCGCCCGTCGGGGCTCTGCAGCTCCGGGCGTCGGACGCTGCCGGTGAGGCGAAAAGACTCCGGTGTCGTTGGGTCGGCGCATGAGAAGGCGAAGCTTTGACCGGAGTTCTGAGGACTTCCTTGCATTTTTTTCGTTTTTTTTGTGGTTCCAGCCAACATGAACTCAATGTTGGGTTTGCTTTCGCCAATTTCTTTTTGGGTTGATTGAAGACGAAGCAGCAGAGGTGTTTTGGCATCCCCAACTCATGTCGGAGTCTGATGAGGCGATGAGAAATGATGCCAAACCTCTGGGTGATTGGACATCGGTGTGAAAGGGCCCTTGGATTGACACACACGATTCTTTTTGAGTATGTAATTACTCTGTGCACGTTCAAGCTCGGCGTGGGATGCACTCAAATCCATTTTTATTGACACAACTTGCATCAATCGCGCCCTCCTATCTAAGACATCCTGGAGAAAGCACACAGCTTGCATTGAGGAATGATGAGCATCTAAATTTTTCACGAATGAGGTGTTCACCTGCTGGCATGTATAAACTCTTTTCACACTTTCTGTGTGTGCTTAGGCAAAAACACTCCCACTTTCGCACAGAGATGCAGAGACTCAGATTTGCTTCAAGATCTTTGAAAAGCCCCAGCAGCCCCAGCCCAGTATCTTTGCTGGCAAGAAAAGTAGCAAACCTAGCTTTTCGCCTGGTCGCTGTCCCGGGGAATGCTTCACCCCACTCAGCGCTGGCGACCCGGTGGGCCCTTTCGTTGACAGGGCTGCGCCGTTGCAGCGGTACCTGACCGCGCGTGGAGCGGACACTCCCAGAACGTGGCTTGCAGGTGCCAGAGCTGAGAGGGGACCTTCACACGGACGGTTGGTTTGCATGGTGGTTCCATGTTCTTAGAAAGGGGGAAGCTTTCATTCAAATGGGCCGTCCGAAATCTTCCGAGTTGTGTAGACGCCTTTTCCAAAGTCGAAGGATCTAAGACTCATTGACATATCAAGAACATGAGACTTGCAGGGCCTTTTGGTTCGGAGGCCTGGCAGAAGGCCTGTGCCGCCGTGGCCTGGTAGCTGAAGTTCAGGCGGCGCAGCAGTGGTGGCGCGGCAGTGAAGAAATTGGGGTGGAAGGGGTTGAAGAAAGGCGTCAAGACATCCTGACATCCAATGAAATCCCATGATGTCCTCCTATGATATGCCACAAGGATCCACAAGGACCATCAAGGACCAATGATTTAAATTTGATGGATTTCATAAAGGCTCTAACAAATTTATTGCATCCCCAAAGATGGGCCAGAGCTGGGCCACAGCCCGCACAAGATGTCTTCTTGATTTGTTTGTGCCCAAGGACCCAGTATCTTTGTATGGTTGGTTTGCTGAGGGGATCCTCTATCATCTCGACCCCAGACAAACTACTGTATATTTATTTCTCGGATTTCCACAGAATCCAGATCGAATAAAGGCACAATTCTTCCAGATTTCTACACATCCAGTCCCATCTGTGTCTGGTCCTTCACACAACATTCTCTATGATAGAAGAAATCTAACACCAGCCCCAAAATCTTTCATCTCTTGGTCAGGAAGGGATCTGTATTCGTTTGTTTGTTCGTCCTTTTTTGTGTGTCCGTCAATCCGTTTATGATTCCCTCATCCTACCGCGTGGAACTCAATCTTCGGGTGCTCTATCACTCGTGCGGCTTTCAAGCTGGATTTTGCGGTGCAAATGTGTAATAGTTGATTCATCCCTGCACGGCCGCCTTGAATTTGGATGCTTCCCCTCCTTTATCCAAAGGCTTCCAAGCATCCTTGGCTTTTGACTTTCAGCGATCACAGCAACACTGAGCCCAAACATCAAAGGTATTCTGCGATGGTGGAGCGCTTGCTACGCGACCCCAAGGGCGCGGACCCGGAAGGCGCGCAACTGGCTGTTTTCTTTTTGCAATGCTTTTGCGGGTGGTTGGACACGTGGGTCATGAGCAAAATATTTGGCCCGGTTAAATCCCTTCAGCAAGACGATTGTTGGACCATGCCCGTGCTTTGCGAGATGGGAGGAAATCGCATGACCTGTCCAGATTCTCCCCCCAAAAAATTCTGTTGCGCCAAGTTGGAGGTTTCCTCACGAAGGTGCCATGTGGAACAACTCGCGGCTCGGCGCCGCAGGGGACAATTTCGCGGCCTGGCTGCGTGCCTGCCACCGGCCCGTGTTCCGGGACATTGACACCTATGACTGCGGAAAGCTGAAGCGGTGCCGATGGGCCAAGAGCAAATCCGTGGCAGGGAAGCGCTACAACTTGAAGCTTGGGCGGCAGGGTCATGCGGAAGAATTCTGAATTGCACTGCTGTAGGTGTGAACAGATGAAGAACTACTCGTTCTCGTGTGGGCTTACTCCCGGGGACGTTGCACGTTTGAGGCTATCACACCAAGGGTCCACCCCACCTTGACCTTATGCTTTGACAGGTAGAGTTTGCAGTGAGCAAGTGTTGGTTGGCAGGTGCAACGATCAGCATTCTTGAGGTTGTGTTGCTTTGCTTTTGTTGTGCTGGTATGCTGGGGCGAACATTTGTGCTGGAGGACCCGGGGTGGGGCAGCTATGCCCAATTGGCAGAGGACGCCCCTCACCCTATGGGTTTTGTGTTTCATTTGCCGGGCGCATTCCACCTTCCAAACAGGTTCAGCAGCGACAGCGTATTGGAATCCTGTCGAGCCTCGCAGCGTAGCGTGTGGGCCAGTTCTTCACACGGAGCCATGACGAACGATTTGAACAAGGCAATCCTTGTTCGACAGGGCACCACTGTGAAAGCCTTTCAAGGATGGCGAGCCCTTGCCCGAGCCCTTTGCCGAGGCTGTGTCATTGACGCGGGAACCTTCCAGCGACAGCTCTTGTGAAAAAAAGCGACCCGCTAATGGAGCTTTGCTCCTCCTGCTGTTTGTTCTTGTGTGAGCTGAAACAAACAGCCGTGACAGGTCCAGAGCAGGACAGATGGTTGTTGGAGATCCGAAGCCAGCACCGCTGGCTTCGCTTTTGGTTGCTGGTCTTCAGGGGCTTCTGGTTTTAAACTGGGGTTGCAAGTTCAGCACAGCATTCAAGGAGCTGCGTGAACAATTTTCCCACCAGGATTCTTTGCTGGCACGTGCATAGCCTTTCTCGGTGACGTGCCTCTCCTGCAGGGAATTCAATTAAAAACGGATGGTTAGGCAGTTGAGGCCCCTGCCACGAGCTTGGGCATCGCCTTTGGAGAGCGTTGGCCTGTCCGCTTGCCGCTCTGGTGCCAAGCTTTCCCGCTCTTTTGAATTGAGCTTGACAGATCCTGTGCTTGCAAAGTGCCTTCGATCGTTTGTTGCCCCTCAAGCAATTTGTGGCGTGGGTAGCAAAGCCCTTACTGGTCAGGTGTGGCGATTTCTTTTTTTTCGGATTTGGTGCAGGTTGCACCTTTGGGTAGTGGCTTCAGTGTGGGCCGTTGGTATGGTTCGGGCTGTGCCTTTGGCCCTTAGGGCTTCGGCGCGTGGAGCGTCGTTCCGGCACGGGATGTGTGTATTTGGGGTTTCAGCTTGCGCTGTTCCGAGGGCCGTCGGCTCTTGTCTCGATACCGCCTTTACATCTTGCGACGTATGCTGTTGTACGGGATTTGTCTTTTACAGCTCGCAATTACTGACCTTGTAATGCTTGCCTCTTTCTTTGGTTATGTTCTGTCACGGTTTCGTGGCCGGAGCAGATCGACAAAGCCGGCATTCCTGAGACAGAGTGGAAGGTGAGATTCGTTTAGACGCAGGCTACGGTTCCGTAGATGTTTTGGGGAATGCCTTCACCGACGACAAGGTGTTAGAGAGAATGCCAGCACTGAGCTGCGTTTGTCATGGGTCAGCTAGCTGGAGTTAGCGTAGGCACCCCCCATGCGGGTTCAACTCCCCCCTGTGACGTGTACACCCCTGAATCAATCAATTTCCTTCATTGGCAACAGCACCGCAGGGCTGTAACAAAAACCAACTCTCCTCGCATTTTTCAACACAGGCTAGCTTTCGTCGCCAAACCTCCGGCCTCAAGTGTAGCCTGAGGGAGCATTTACAAGTGTACAATTTTGTAAAGGCGAAAAGTCAAACGTGTGCGAAGAACAGTCCGCTTTGTTTTTTGCATTGGCATACTGTTCCTTTCGAATGATCCCTATGCACTTCTTGCTTTGATTTCTTGCTGGTTGGCCCCTCTTTGATTTTGATGTTGTTTCCTTTATAAGTTTATAAGGATCTTTTCACGAAACGTAGCCTCGGCTGCCTGAGGTTCCTTGCTTTAGCAATATGAAGCTCATGTTATCTGTGGTTTTCTTTAGTGTTGCTGGGCACGATGGGTTTTATACCAATCAGGTCAGAGGAGAGTGTGGGGTTTGCAAGCACCCTACCAAACTGGAGAGCCCGGATGACGTGGTTTTGGATTGTCACATTCTCGCGATCAGGAAGGACATCAAGATTCCGTCGGTGGAAGAAGCCTTCAAAGAGTTTGGACGCACCAAGAGGCGTGGTCTTTTGAAGGTGGGACGAGTGTGCAAAAGACGGAGTTGAACGAGTGTGGGAAGATCCCTGCTAAGTCTGGAGCATTTTTCATGGAAAAAAACTCACCAAACAGAACGAAGTACTACAAATAGAAAATACGATTTTTCGCAAGAAGGACTAAGTCGAAGTATTTCAAAGATCTGAAAAGTCCTTGCATGCTTCTCTGTCTTCAGGTCTACTGCTCGTGAGCAAGTTTTGTCAAAGAGCCTTGGTCGCGCCTTCGGGCACTTCGCCAAGGGAGGGGACCCGAAGCGTAGCCCCATCTCTTCAAAGAAGATGGAGGATGGAGGATGGTTGTGGCACTTCTCCTGGAGTTGAATCGAACAGGGGGCTATGTAGATTCTCAAAGCGACATCCCATTCTGCTACACAAAGTGTTGACATTGGAACCTGGATCCACTTTGCTTTTTCCAAGGGCCTTCAGCCTGAGCGCTTGCTTTCCAAGGATTATGGTGGACATCTTTCAGCTGCGCAACTCGGCAATGTCGTGTTTCGTTTCGATGGCAGATTCGTTTTTGAAATATCCATAAAAATGCGTTTTTGGAAGCTAGGTGAACCTCCACACTGACCCGCACCCACAGCGCATCCTTCGGAAGGCATCAGATTGACTGATAGAGTCCTCCCAAGGCCAGGCCTCCCCCCATCGCTCGAGTTTGACGCTGAGGGTCGGTGGACTTGGCTATGATTCTGAAGTCCATGGAGGTCGTGATGGGCAAAGGGTAGGACCAGCAAGAAGTGTCAGCCTGATGTGAACATATGTGAGCATGGAAAAACAAGGATCACGTGGATCATGCTTGACCATTTTGGAGGGTCGCATCTTCTAGTTGCATCAGTTCTCCATACATACGCAGTGCATCTCAGTGGGATTAGTTTTTCTTTTTTAAACAAAAACACATTGACCTTGACGTGGTGGGAATTGGTGATGAGTTGGGATGTGGGCCTCCCCGAGATGCCAAGATCTCAATCCAGATCCTCTTGGGATTAGAACGCGCATTTCGAGGACTGAGCCTCGCCAATATGCTTGGAGGGTACCGTAATGGTTGTTGGTTGAGACATATTTGGAACAAAGCTTCCTGACACTTCCTGGCAGTCTCGCACTAAAGATCGTATCTGATACGAACGAGATCGCTCAGGTGATTGGAAAGGAACACCCAAGTCGGTCTCCGACTCACACAGGTGGCGTTGGCCGCTCCAGAAGGCAAAGAGGTGGCTGCGACCTCAGCGGAAGCGGACGGATGACTGGGATGGAAGCGGTGGAAGCTTGTCGAGTGCCGGGTAGACTGCCCCACAACTCAGGATCAGCGTCATTGTGACTATGATCATTGTGATTATTGTCATTGTCATTCGTTGCAAGCAATTGAAGATACATAGAGCTTGAACATGCGGGATCCTTTGGTTTGCGACTAGATATTAAGCACATTCCATTTACCCTGAGCATCAATTTCTGTTTAATGATCTAAATCCTCAGCACCGCATTAGCTGGGATAACCTTTTCTTGAGCCAAGACTTAGATCTATGGTAAGCCTGCCGCAAAAAACATTTGTTTCTCACAGTGCTCGGGAACTGTTGCGAAACACCAAATCACATGGAACACACTAAGGCGAAGATACACTCATGAAAACACCATGCTTGGCCTTGTTTCCAGAGGCAAGTAAGTCCCTTAGTCAAACACTTTACAATAGAAACACCAAACGCACCTTTTGCTTTCAGTGTTTCCCTTTGTTCTTGTGGCCATTGGTTTCACCACAACAAAGAACCATAGCCTTGTGAAGACTTGGGGAGTTGAGGTGGTGGTCTGCTACGGCGGCCTGGACCACACGCGGAACGTGGCAAAGTTTTTTCAGGTGAGGATGCGGTTTGGATCGATCCACTCGCAGCTGGATCGATCATTCCGCTGTTTTGGGCTTCACCAAAAGAGAGCAAAGCCTTGATAAACTTTTTGGATGTCGGGAAAAGAAGGCGTGAGCTCAATGTGGACTGGGTCAATTCGGGGAGAACATGAAGGTACCATAAATGCTGGCAGTACACGTCAGTGATTCCCATGTCCAAATGTCGCAACCTGTTTGGCTGTTGCTTCGCTGTTGCTGCCTGCGCGACCGTGGCTTTCTCAAGCCGGTGCATTCGGACTGCAGGAGCTGGGCTTCAGCGGACGGGGCTTGCGAGGCGGAGTGGTGGGGAAGGAAGAGCAGCTTGGCAAAGCAAGGGCAGGTTGGGTGAAGCCGGTTTGATCAGATTGAAATTTGCATAAATCGGTCGAGCTTTGATCTTTCATGGATCTTTATCAGAGTCAGAGTTTATTCCTTCCGAATAATTTCTAGATACTCCAGGGTGATCGTTGTGAGAAGCCCTCTCTGTGTGGCTTGGGTGTGCAACGTAGGATTGGTTGTTCATGTGGCCGACGGTTTTAACATTTTTGGGTTTCTTTGCTTTACTTGCCAAGAAAGCAGGTGGTCTTTATGATTTGAACTTCGATTTGGGAAGACCCATTTCCCCTCTGCCCCTCTGCTTGTGGATTCAAAACGCATCTCCCAAGGTACGAAGAAGACGAGAAGAGGAGCTCCACCGCGTCGTGATTTCCACGTCGTTCCACATCGAGGAGTCGAGAGGCCTTCCATTTGGAAGGCCTATAGCTGGCGGTATTTCGATGGTCAACTAGGTTGGCCTGGAGGAAATTGGATCTGAGATGATCTGAGCATGTTTGCTTTTGGATATGATAGGCTCATTGGTCCACCAAGGTCAAGACTTGGTCAGTTTGGGATGCTTTTCATAAAATCGGACGACACTTCTTGTGTGCTTCCTTGCGATTCGCTAGTTTGGTCACTCCTTGGTCTTCAACAGAACCCCCTTCAAGTATCCCGCAGTCCCAACGACAGACGCTGACCCTGCGTGAGGACACTGACCTTGCCATCTTACCTGAAAGACCTGCGACAGTTGTGCCTCGGACGCTTTTTCTCCGCACTTTGGATGGTCCACGCCGATGAGCCACACCGAAAGGCAAAAAAAGCAAATATGATCAAATAGACCGGGCCCCATTCTTGAAGCGACTCTTTCACTTGCACACGCCAGCCTTTTTGAGGGCTAGATCTTTGCATGCCACAGAAATTAATTGGAGTTGCACATAGCAAACGACCATACTTTTGATGGAGAGCAAGCTGTGTTCAATCAATCTCTCTTTTCTTTCTTTCTTTCTCTGATCCTTTGCAACCAATCCACCGATATTCGACCCTTCTCCACGATGAGATCCAGATCTGCAGCTCGGGTCGCCCCTGCAAGGTTTCCGCTTCGGCCACGGGGTCGCCGATCGAAGCTTCGCCGTGGCCTGAGGATGCGGGTCGGGCAAAAGGATGCAACACCATAGACGACTGAGTCAGCTAATCAGATCATAGAGTCGCATCGTATCACATTGAAATTTGTGTAGGATCTCAGGAGGAGTGGCATTTGGGCAAATCTCTCGTTGTAATCGTGCTGGTTATCACCCTTGCCCTCTGCCCGAGCAATGCTGTGTGAGGAATCCAGAGGGGAGCCTGAGGAATCTGTGGATTGCCTAGCACGAACCCAACGTCCTTGAAGGGCATTTTCCGAGATGGGCTTTCCAAGGCCCATCTTGAAGGGAGCCAGGTCCCAGGAGCGCTAGTGAGTGGCAAAGCAACGCACCGCAACCTTCCGTTTTAAAGAGCCCAACTAGTGAACAGTATACCACTATTGTCAATAGAGATGAGGTCTCAGTATAGCTTCTATATAGGTACTTGCCATACCTTTTTGGCTCAAGTGCCCAACCAGGTAAAAAGGAGCTTTAGCGCGCGAGCTTCATGTTAGACTAAGGGCTAGAACGGGGCCAGGGGCACGCTTTTCATCCGTTCGCAGGTTATCAGCCGTATCCAGACTCCTTCGAGCTGGGTACGAGCTACGGCCTTACACAACACCATCTAAACGCACACTCATCGGATAGATCAGTTACCCTCAGTCACTGAAGATGGACCAATCCGACGCCAGCACTGCATCCTTTGGAGCAGCCGCTGCGGCCGCAGATCGGGTGAGTGCATCCCACAATTCTAGTCCAGGTACGATCGAAGCGGAGACTCTGACAGTGGTGAGAGAAGTTGCGACAGGTAGAGCACGAAGTCGTTCCCCGTCAGCGCACTCGACACCACCGGGGGGGACACCGAGATCGGGCCGTAGCCCTAGGGAGACAAGGAGGAGGACTGACACCGGAGCTGTGAGAGTGCTAGCTTTAGAGGATGGGTCAACTGTGCCAGTACCGTCGGACAGCGAAGCTGGAGACGGAGCAAGGGCAAGCACTGACAACCTACAACTAGCACGGGCCGATGGAGACCTCAATGCGAAGTGTGCACAACTACTTGCCGAAGTGCATATGTTGAACCACCAAAACGCATGGATGGTCGAATGTGAGCAGAGACAGAACCAGATTATACAACACGAGACCGAAGTCCACGAAGTAGTGATGGCACACCTCGAAGAATGTTATGTAGAAGGATATGGAAATCAACGAAGAATCTCCCAACTTACAGAATCCAGAGACTGTTTGCTCTCAGCAGCACACGATTTGCAATACCAGATTGACACTGATCGTGTGGCAATGCGGGATCGTCTCACCCAGTTAGGGGAGTACGCTGATCGCAACAGCGCAGAGATGGTTAGTCAAGTCGTGAACATCGGCACGGAAGAGATCCAGGCTATATCGGCGGAAAGAGATCGAGCTGTGACGGAGCTCATGACTGCAGTCGCAGATGCTGAGAACATTAGGGATCTGTATAGGCAGGAGATAGTTGGACTACAAAGGCAGAGTGTCAGGAACAAACACGAATATGCCGAGGAGATGAAGATGAAGGAAGCAATGTATACAAGCAAGATCAAATGGTTATCAGAAGAGAATGAGGAGCTCAACAACCGATCTTATAATCAGGACAATTTCATCATGACCATCAGAGAGCAATTGAAGAGGGCGAACGAGGAGTTGACGCAGGCGAGGACTCAAGGATCCGACCGACCGTCTCAACCATCCAACGTCGAACTCAAGAAAGCTGAGGTCAAGATGAACATGTTGGAAGAAGACATTCTACGTAAAGAGAGGATGTTGAAACGTCTTCAGGAAGAATTGATCGAATCTAGCGCGAGTGAAGCACAGCTGAAAGTCGCACTGAAGATGAAACCACCAGACATGGGATCAGAATCCAATGTGGAAAATGAGATGATGACCAGGCTTAAAGCGGAACTTGAACGCACCGAAAAGTCATTAAGGTCCGAGGAGAAAGAGGCGATGGAGTACTACGAAGGTATGATGCAGAACCAGCAGGACATGATGGAATTCGAAGCACATGCAGCACGACTCAGAGATGAGAGGAATAAGTACCGGAAGAGGTATGAAGACGAGCGCATGAACGCTGAGAATGCAGCTGCAACCGAACATGGTGCCGCTTCATCCTCTAGCTCGGGTGGCTCCAAGATATCTCGGAAGGAACACGAGAAGATCAACATCCCTGCATGGCCCAAGATACACGACTTGGAGGTTTGGAAATCCCAAGTTGTAGCGGCAGTCGTGACGGCATCGGGCGACGAAAGACAAGAAGATTGGATCCAGTGGCTCTCGGATGCCTTCAAATCACCATATGACCCATTTCTGCTCGAGACATCGGGCGAAGCAAGATTCGCTAGCATAGATGCTAAGCTAGGTATCACCCTACACACGATTATCCACGCAGCAGGTGAGAGATCTCACGACGTACAACTGAAGGTGAGGCAGATGATGCAGAGACGCGCGAGAGGCACAACCCCGGGAATGGTTAAGGGACGAGAAATGTTAGCGTTGATCGTCGATAGCTTCCGGAGTGCCGACAACGTCGATGTGATGTATGCATCTAAGCACTTATTCGATCTGAAGTTCCCTGGAGATAATCAACTATCCAGATTCCTTGGACAGTGGGATGAGATCATATCAGGTATGGATGCGGATGACATGCTTCCTGACAAAGCACTCCGCAACCTGCTTTGGGACAAGATTAAAGATTCCAAAGTTATGGCGTTAGACTTGTCTGTGTACGACAACATGTTGGATAAGGATCCGGATAAGACCTATCAGAAGTTACGGGAGATTATGGCGAAGTGGATACGGAAATCAATCGAGACCACAAATAAGAAAGAAAGGGAAAAAGCTTTTGGGAACCTTATGAAGGCTACACCAGCGGAGAAGAAGGACCCTAAAGCGAAGCCCAAGAATACCAAGGCCGATCCACCGAAGGACGCCGCTCCAGTACTTCCTCAGAATAATCCGAAGGATCACCAAAAGAAGGACAAGAAGCAGGATCGTGGAAGGTCAACCACGAAGAGCCCGAAAGGGGACCGTGGCAGATCAGCGACTCCGGCAGACACGTCTAAGATAGGATGCGCTTTCCACTTCCATGGGAAGAACGGACGTTCTAGAGGAGACAAATGCAAGTTTAGTCACCAGGAGAAGCGCAAAAGTTCTGCTAAGAAACCAGACAACCTCAAGGGTGACAGGTCAAAGAGTCCTGGTGGTAGGAGCACTAGCCCTAAGCCAATGAAGGATCAGGTCTGTTGGAATTGGCAGAAAGGATCGTGCAAGTTCGGGGACAAATGTCGACGTCAACACCAAGCTGCTCCTGCGGCAAAGCAAGAGGCTAAAGGCAAAGCCAAGCCCAAACCCGCTGCACCAGCCTTCATGCTTTGCGGGGACATCGAGAGTGATGACGAGGACATGCAACCAGCACTTCCCAATATACGACGAGGTGGGTTGGCGCTTCGCTTTAAAGTCAGATTCGATGAACAGGCGAATGTGACCACGTTTCCCTGCGATCCTGGTAACGAACTAAATACCCGTCCCCTCAGGAAGAAGAAGAGTGAGGTACAGAAGGTGGATACCGAGCTCATTACATCGTTGAGAGCCCTCAGAGTGAACAATATAGCTGCACGAGTAGCACATGCCAAAGGTAAGATGATGGAGTCATACTCAGCTGAACACATTGCCAAGGCATGGATACAAATCACTCAAGATGAAGGGATCGAGGTGAACGTCAACCTGTCTGACTTCAGCACTAGCGAGGTAGTAAAGAAGGATTCTGTCAACTACACGATACCGGGAGACACGATGTTCATGGCTGTGGAGAGGTATGATGGACCACCGATACGCTTCATCATGGACACGGGATGTGGACACGACTTGATATCAAGAGAGAAAGTCAATGCCATGGGCCTTACCACCAAGGAAGGACCCAAATCCGTGAGCTTCATGACAGCGAATGGTGTAACTAGTACATCAGAGATGGTGGACATCAATGTGGACGAGCTACCCATGATGTCCGAGGCACACGTGTTGGAGAGCACACCATCAGTCTTTTCCATCGGGAAGCGGTGCATGGAACAAGGGTACTCATTCATATGGCCGGCAAATCAATTGCCATACCTCATCGACCAGAACGCGAATAAGATTCCGCTATCGGTACATGACAACATACCCTACATCAAGGTGAATGATGACGACGGGAGATGCTTACCAAGATCGGATGGCTTGGCTACGATACTTCATCGCATACTGTCAGGTGCGGGGCATGAAGACGAGACCACAGCAGGTCAGGAGGCGCAGCAAGAGGAACCTCCGCCCAAGAAACCACGGAGACGGAGGAGAAAGAAGAAAGGTAACCAGAGAGATCAGGATGGTGAATCTGATATCAATCCAGCCGTTGTAGGCGACGAAGGAGAACCAGAGGAACACGGCGATGATAGGTATTCTCCTGAAGAGGAATATGACGGGGAAGACCCGAGAGTCGATCGTGATCTCGATGACCAACCTGAAGAAGCCGAAGACGACGAACATGGAGGTGATGCGGATTCTGAACGAGAGGAGAGTGACATTGGTGAAGATGAGGAGGGACTACTGGAAGTCGATGTGGTCGACGGGGAAGCCAGACTATCAAAACCAGGAGTGCTGAAGAATGAGGCGAAATCCATATTGCATCTGATGACGCACCGATACAAGAACCCATACTGCAAGTCATGTGTGAGAGCAAAGATGAAGCACTACAAGACTAGCAAAGGGGCTTTCAAACGGAAATTGAAGGCATTTGGTGACCTTATCACTTTCGATCTCATGAACACTCAGAAGATGGCAAGAGATGGGATCATGCCGGATAAGGATGTATTGGTGATTCGAGATCGGTTCACTGGTGTGATATGGGGTTATCCTTTGAAAGCGAGCAATAGTGACGAAGTGGTGCAGGCGATGAAGCACTACATCGGTAAGAGAAAAGTCACCAACGCTTACTCTGATGATGCGCCACAATTTGAGGTAGCACTCAAGGAACTTCGGATTCCACTAGACCAGTCGCTTCCAGGACATCCCCAGAACAATTCACTCGCCGAAAGAAACAATCAGTTCATGATGCTTACCACATCGACGTGCCTACTAGAAGCCGGACTACCACCATGTTTTTGGCCATTTGCAGTGGAATGCGTAAGCCATTTGTTGAACATCGAGAAACTGAGCGATGGCAGCAGTGCATGGTTGAAGTTGCACAAGAGCGAATTCCCAGGCATGGTGATACCACTCGGGGCGAAGGTGTTCTTCAAACCTAGTGACGCGAGAGAAAGGGACCAGGACCATAAGTTCGACCCCAAGAGCATAC